AATCCTGGGTTCATCACTTACTATCTGCATGACCTTGGACAGTTCCATAACTTCCCTCAATGTCCTCATTTTTAAAATGTAATTCAACAAACTTACTGACCTGTATAACTCCCCTAATATTTATTTACTTATTTACTTGCTTATCAATATAAACACATATTGTATACTCTATATGAATACATATATTTTATAACTTCAAATTTATTAGAAAATTACGTAAGTAATAGCAAAGAATTAAATGTATGTCAGGAACCTGGCTCTACAGAGGCCCTGTAATGGTAACTGTTATTGTTAACAATATTAATAAACAGAAATCCAAGAAAAAATGAAATGCTGTCAGGAAAAAATTTCTCAAAGAATATAACAGGGAGGAGTGAAAGACAAAAATCAGCATCTCAGCTGATTCTACAACATCTGCAGCAATTTCCCAAACATTTCCACTAACTAGACATTCATTGTGGCAATTAAACATGCTGTTGCTAACATTCCCAAAGGCCTACTGAGAATCTTCCAGAGAACACAAATGAAAGCCACTTTGCTAATCATAGGAAGCTTAAACTAAGCTTTGGAACACTAATGCACAAAGTCTCCCATTCTATGCAAATACAGGTTCCCTCTCTATGAATATAATGTCAATACAAACTAACTCCAGCCATTAAACACACACTACACTTATTTAAACCTCTTGATTGTAAATAAAATAAAAAGAGGCTTTAGACAAGACATATATTTTGATCTCCATCAAAATCTAAGCTGTTAGTTCTATCTCAATATTTGTATTTCAAAATTATTCCAATTATAATCTTTGTAATACACAAAATCACAATATAACAGACAAGTCTAATTTGGCTATGAATTAGTAAATTTTTACAAGGCCAAACCAGGTCAGAAGAATGAATTTATTTCAAGTGAAAAATTTACCCTAACTGATTTATCATATGGTACAGGCCACAGACCCATATTTTGTGTATTATAAAGATTATAATTGGGATAATTTTGAAATACCAGTATTGAATTTAGGAAGACAATCAACCATAAACAAAATAATATGGAACCACTACGCCAAATTCTTCTACATTAGAAATGAAGATTGTTTGGTTTGGTTCTATTAAAGGAAGTGAATTTAAACAGCACTTTGTTCAAGTTTCAAAAACACAGATGCAATCCAGGAAATATAGTCAGGTTGGTACACAGAACCTAGTGTTGGGATTACAACTATACAAAGACTGATTTTATAATATACTCCAAAACTTTTGTATCCAATAAATTTTACTCCAACTTTGCAGAAAGTAGTCATTATGAAGACCTAGCCTTGCTAAACAGAGTTTAGAAATCTGCGGCACATTTTTGTTAGATATGCTCAACTGTTGCAAATTTTAAGTTCTTTGAGAATGCATTTGATTTACGGGAAGAGACAAAAGTCAGCAAGAAAGAAATTCTGTTAAACAGATCAAACTAAATAAATTTCTTTTGGTTAAAAAAAAAAAAAAGAAAAGGTATTGACTACAAGGTTGTATGACTGGTTTTCTTAAAAACCAGAAAAGCAAATTTAAAATGGGAATTTCAAGCATTTTGAGCAGCCATATTTTATCTGTAATAAGAGTATAACTCCCCCAAAAGGAATTTTCATTTTTTCTATACCATTATTCTCTACTGGTTGTTTAGTCCTCCAAATTCTAAACAATGATTAAATAAGGAACAATAATAACATCTCATATAGATTATTCATTTAATCCATATATCAACACTACTAAATAAAAATCACCATTTCACAATTTACAAATTGAGGGTGACTGGTTTAAGTAACTTGCCCAATTCACACCAGTAATAATGGGTAGACCAGAGATTGTTGCCTCACAGTTAATACCAAATAAACACATATTACATACCTGACTTAAGGTTTATGCCCTACACTGTCTGTCTCCCTATTCATCTGTTCCTATAATAGCTGCTACATATATATTTTAGCATTTGCCAAACTATATTGTAATCATTTACTTATCAGTACTCCCTGCTCAATTATAAGCTTCCAGAAGGAATGGCCCATACCTTGGTCATCTTTATAGTTCCAGAACACAGGTCCAGACTTAGCGCATCTACATAAATTCCTTGTTAGTAGCCTAACTGCGACATTAAGGCCATTTTTTGCTAGCTGCTCATGGGTGGTAAATATTACAGTAGCATTACTGGACCATTAGCTGTTCCTTTAGCCCTAAGATACACAACCACCACCATCACAAACAGAGAAGGCTCAGGCAGAAAGAATATTTGATATGATCAAGCCCTATTTGTAGGGCTATTTTTTGTGTGGAGGTGGCTGGCTGGTAACGGGATCCACGTCCATGACCCTGGTGTTACCATAGATAGAGTTGTTCTTAATACCACAATATGTGGTGTACAGAATTTTTAAAACTGCACTCATTATCAGTCTACCTCCAGCAGTTTATACACATTATAAAAAACTAAATTACAGGATAACACCATATTCAAATTATATGCAAGAATAAAGAAAAAATATGAAACAATGTAAACCAACAGAATAAGATAAAGTTTGCCAACAGCTATCTTTTCATTACAATACAACTACAGTCTAGAGGGGCAAGACCACACAATTTATATGCTTTCCCACAAAAGAAACTTAACAGGATCAGTTGTGATGGCATTTTGAGAATGTTACAATATAATTACAAAATGGCACAGGTTAATATTTAAGGAAACATCAAGTCTCAAAATATAAAATGAATATTTACAAGATTAAGTCTCTGTTTTGTTAAATATTACAGGTCTCGGAAATTAAAGGGAAATATAAAAACACAAATGACCCAATACTAAAATTAGTTAACAAAATTACTGACCCTTTTTATTCTTTTAGGAGCTCTTTCACCTAATAAATGTTAATGCTTGTAGTTTCAGTTTTCTTTCCATTTTTGTTGACCAGGAATTCTTTCTAGTGCTTTTCTCTTCCTGCCCTCCCCCACCTCCACCCCAAAGTTGCTGTGGAGGTTCTTTAATCTTTCAAGACAAGGAAGTGATAAATGTTACAAACTCCTGAATAGAGGTTAAATGACAGTATCATTTGGCTATCTCGACTGGCTTTCAAGCAGTATCAGGCTTCTAGAATACCAATCTAATTCTTAGAAACAGAAAACACAGGAAGCCCAGTATTCCAAGAATAGTTAATAATTGATTCATCCTGGCTCCCTGGGAACTACACAGCAAGGACCAGTGTGCTATGCAAAGCCTGACAACATATTCATCTACTAATACCTATCACCCAGGGACAAGGAAAATAGAAAAAGAGCTCAAGCTAAAAAACACAGGAAGAAAACTACAAAACCTTTGATATGAGAAGGAATCAGAGCTAGATGAAGTACAGGATGGATCACTGGGCTGCAAACAGAGGTGGTGCAAGGGTGCGGCCCACCACTGGCAGGGATGAGGGAGGAATGCAAGTGGGCAAGAGGTGAGGGTAAAACAGGTAGGAGCTAGGCGTGACAGACTGAGGCAGCAACAATTTAGGCTGGAGGTGGAATGCCCAAGTGAAGGGAGGGCAAAGAGATAGAAAGCACCTCAAAGCGGAGGCAGAACCACAGAACGGGCAGGGAGCAGACAAAACACGAAAAAACAAACAAGAATCTCTGGACAGGTGAGAAAATATGTAAAAGTGGGATCAGCTGATGAGTAGACAGGTAGAAAAGGGGAAAAAAGAATGAAGTAAAACAGGCCTATTGGGGAAGGAAATTTTTTTAAAAATATCTTTTAAGTTTTTCTAGGACCAAGAATAGAAAAATTTCCATTCTTTTCAGTGTTGCTGTTCCAAAGATCTATTTATAAAGATATAATTCGGGCCGGCCCGGTGGCACACTCGGTAGAGTGTGGCACTTGGGAGCACGGTGGCGCTCCCACCGAGGGTTCAGATCCCATATAGAGACCGGTTCGCTCACTGGTTGAGCGCGGTGCAGGCGCGACACCGAGGGTTGCGATCCCGTTACCGGTCACGAAAAAAGACAAAAAGGAAAAAAATAAAATAAAAAATAAAAAAATAAAGATATAATTCTTATTTTAAAAGTGAAAAAAATATGGTAATCCGATCTTCAGTGCCAAATAATCATCCAAGGAAAAAGCAGGCATATGCAGAGGCTGGGAGCAGACAAAGAAGATGAAGCTGAAGTCACGGGACATGCACCACCAGCAGCACCATGAAGCACTGCACACCCGCAGCGATCGCTCATTAAGTCCTCTTTGGGGCAACTGTGCCTGCTTCTCTTCTGACAAAGTTTGGATGTGTTGTACCCCCAAAACTCATGCAGAATTCTGATCCCCAATGTGACAGTGTTGAAAGCTGTTTGAGTCATGGGGGTGGACCCCTCATGAATGGATTAATCCTCTCCCTGGGGGTGGGGATAGTGAGTGACATCTTGCTCTGTTAGTTCCCAGGAGAGCTGGCTGTTTAAAAGATCCTGGCACCTCCCTCCCCTTTCCTCCTCTCACCATGTGATCTGCTCATACCCACAGGCTGCCTGCCACTTTGCACCATGAGTAGAAGCAGCCTGAGGTCCACACCAGATGCACCTGTCCCAGAATCGTAAGCCAAATAAACTTCTGTTCTTTATAAATTACCCAGTCTCAGGTATTCTGTTATAGCAACACAAAACGGACTAATACATCTTCCTACTGCTATTTTCTACTTCTCTTGCCATATCAAATAAAACTCTGATCATGAGTAGATTACCAGCCACTGCAGTAGTGGAAAATAACTCAAGTATTACATATAAAAGTGGATGGGTTAACAAAGATAATATAAGAATCATGTAAAAAATGTGCTAGTGTCTTGCCACTCATATTTTCAGAACTGCCTTCGTTTAGCTACACAAAAGCCCTAAATGGCACTGGAGTTGCTTCTTGAAATGTGCCTTTTCTTCAGTGGGTTTTTGTTTTTTTTTTTAAACCATTCTTCCATGAATATTTTAATGAGTCATTTAGTGATACAGGCCACTCACAGGCATCCAACACAATATTATTTACTCCTGGAAATGCTTGCTTCTGTATGGGCTTTAGGAGACTTCTTGAAGGAATAAACCTAGTCCAGTTGGTCTCTATCGAAGACATGTTGAAACCAGGACTCTTCTCTCATATTCAAAAATGACTTGAATGACAATCGTGCTGTTTCTAAGGTGAGATGCCTTAAAAAAAGAAAAATTAAAAATCAACTAGATTTTTAAAACATCTCTAATAATGCAGTGCAAATTTTCACACAATAGTATATGTTAGCTAAGACTGAAACATAACTCAAGAATTTTTAATGTCTTACTTCAGCCTTAAATAGACAATATTTTTAAAAATAAAAAGGCTATACAATTAAAATATTGCAAATAATTGACAGTCCCTGAAATTAATAAAAAAGCATCAGTTAAATTTGTACAGAAATTCTGGTGACTGACTTTTCAATATTTACCATGGCCAAGATAGAAGACAGACTGAGAAAGCACTATTTCTCTTCATTCATATCATATTGGAAATGGTATGAACAAGCATGGTTTATATTTAGCTGTAAAACAAACTACTGAATTGATGACCTGGAAAATTCCTTCCAACCATAAAATTCTGAAATTGTATATTATCTAGTAACAAAATCTTGGCACCACCGGATCAATTCTGGGCAATTCATCTCAATTTGCCCAGTTTTCTCATCTGTAAAATACAGGACTGGTTCCTCTTACAGGGGAGGTGGCACCAGAATCACTGAGAATGTTTTAAGCACAGACACCCAGGCCCTGCTCCAACTCCATGGAATCTAAACCTCTGGGGTTAAGCAAAGACATCGGTTCCTTTATAAATAAACCCTGGGTCATTCTGACGTACACTCCTGGTTAAAGAACTAGACCATGCTCAGGATCCAGCTCTACAACCCTAAAATTCATAAAATGGGGTCGTAGAGATCTCATTAAATTGTCCTAACTTGATAGACTTATTAAATGAATCAGTGTATCATTTTCTCTTTCCCTAAAAACCTAACATTCAGGGAAGAGCCTGAAACTTAAATTAAGGCTAACGTGCCAATTGGATAAATACTTCAACATAGATTATTTTAATTGAAATTTTCTAAATTAGTTCCTCCAATATTTAAATAGAACACAAACTGTAGGGCAATATTCACAGCTATAAGTTGCTTCCATGCTGGCCATCCCAAAATATGTGATGTTAAAATGACAGCAGCACAGGTTACTTCTTCACAGACTCAAATTATGAAGCTACCCCAAGACAAATGATACGACACCCTTCCCAGCAGAAACAATTGGTAGTGCAGAAACAATCGGTAGTGCAGAACACTGTACCTGCAAAGGGTGGGTCCTCACTGGCTGCTGGCCAGGTATGTGCTTCCGTGCAGGGAAATCCTCCTCTGAGTCCTGCACAGTGGGGGTGGTGATGGATGTACTCCCCTATCTGTGGAGTCATTTAGATTCAGTGACTCTGTTGATGCCTAGTGACCCCAAAATAATATTATCAGCTCCCAAAAAAGGGGATGGATACATAATTGGGCTTTCAGAGAATACCATTTTTCTTTATCTTGTTGTATTTTGTTTGTGGACCTTCATCTAATTCCACACAGCTTTAAACCGATTTTATTACAGGTTTGTCACCAAATCAATGGCACAATTTTACATTTTCTCTTCCACCAAAAAAAAATATTACTTGGTTTGAAGAGGCCTCCTGACCAACAGTGTTCTCCGTTGCTCAATACAAGCTGAAAAAATAGATCAAGATTCCACAAAAGAACAAAGCCCATGGACAGAAGCACATAGAAAACCTTCAGTGACACCCACAGTATGGCAAATTACTACTGCTAGCTATGGTTTTAAATCTAGTGAGTGTTTTTAAAAAGGCAGTAAGATATCAAGCGTTATTCAATATTATTTTATTTAGCTAAGTTTTTTGACGCTAAATTAGTAACTTAAACAGTCATTGTCCTGTCTGATGATTCAACATCTATAAGAGTTATAATGACTCAGCTATGAGATTCAAAATTCAGTCTCTCTCTCCTCTTGTGTTTAGTCACTTCAATATACAGTGTCCCCTTAATCATTTCCTTTTCAACCTCTGTTAACTGGAAAATCCCACACTGCTCCTGCAGCATAGAGTCATGGCAATCTTTTATGCTACCTAAAAATTTTAAAAAGAGCATATTTTACAGCATGGAAACAGTATAAACTTTCAGATATGCCTTCGAAACATAAGTGAAACCCCCCACAGAAGCTACACCAGCTCTGGAGCCAGGCTGTCCACTAGTACTTGCATCATGGTTGTAGGAAAGAAACTTCATTACTTTGCTGCACCTCTGTTTCCTCATTTGGACAACGGAGTAATAATTGAACCCACCCATCAAAGGATTGTTGTGAGATTCAAATAAATTAACATGTAAAAGAGCCTTGGACAGTGCCTGGCACATATTAAGCACTAAATAAACATTAGCTATTATTATTATTTTATTTAGTTCCAAATTCTCATAGTGTTTCCACATATGGAAACAAGGTTTGGCAAACTAAGTATTACCTACTATTTCGAATATCTTTGATGTTTCCCCATAGTATCTAATATTGGCTCAAAAGGTAAATACAAGTATAAACCTTCTCTATACACATATTATACTGTATACAAAGGCAGTTTTCAAAGATACTACTGTATAAATATATATTTTCTGGCCCGCAGGAGCCTATATTTTGGGTGGGGAAACAAAAATATGTAAAACACTTATGTAATAACATAAAACCATAAAGGTTATATGCCAAAGCGTGTGTTATAAACCACTAACATTCCAAGAGTTCACTACGGGCTGCAGACTCGGCGGCAAAGGTAAGGCTGGAGTGGCCCTATGCCTAAAGGTTAAGTGGGATCTTCACAAGCGGACAGAGGGAAGAGGACTCTGTTGTATTGTTCATTCCACAAATGTTTACTGAGCACCTTCCAAATGCCAGGCTCTGTTCCAGGCCCTGGGGACAAATCTATGAGACAGACAAAGGCCCTGCACTTGGGGGAGTGAAGGGGTTGCTTAAAGGGCACTCTACATGAGAGCCACACTGGAGATGAGGAATAGAACGGGCTTGTCTTCCTATCACAGGAAACACAACGTCACTGACACGCCTCACAGACCTGGGGCTTCCCAACAGTGACAAACATACAGAAAGAGCTACCATGAAAAATTCAACAATTTTCCATGTGCTGTAACATACTGCATTCTAAATCTGTTCCCTGGCTTATAAAGCACATTAAGGGGATATTATTAAGGGGGATATTAAAGGGTCCATATTTCTTAACACAAACAACATAAGAGATTTATTAACAGTCAGTCTTTTGGGGATGGTTTTCATAAGAGTCCTATGGAGGCCCAGTTCCTAACCTTGCCCAAATGAAAGCCTAACCATGTTCTGCTCGCACACCTCATGCTGTTCTCCCAACCCCCACCCTTTCCCCATCTTTTCTTTATCTACCAGTGACTGCCCACAAACATCCAAGCCTGGCAACTGTCTGAGGATGTATGTGGTGGCAGGAATCATCCGTTAGTAGTGACTGCCCACAAACATCCAAGCCTGGCAACTGTCTGAGGATGTATGTGGTGGCAGGAATCTGTTAGTCACAATGAGTAGAAGGATTAACTTCAAAAGAAAATGGGCAGGAATCCGTTAGTCACAATGAGTAGAAGGATTAATTCCAAAAGAAAATGTGTATCTTGTTCTTCCAAGATCTTTCCACTGAAGACAACTCTCCATTCACTCCCTCCCCAAAGAGATAAACCCTCTTGTAAACTGACTGGCAAAGCATCATCAATCTCTTCCTCTTCCCAACGATGGGCCAATGAAATCCCCTGATAGATAAGTTCCAATATGCTTTAATCACAAATAAGACACACCTCCAAGCCCCTTCCTCATCCCCTCCAGTCCTGTCACATGACGCAAACTGTTAGACCCCACCATCATTCTCAGAATCAGTGTTACGTCGAACTGTTATGCCTGTAGAAGTCATTAAATTGTATCTTTGGAAACAATGTCAAAATGAACTCAGATAATGATGACTAAGGAAGCCAAAACTACAGCTTAATTAAATCCAATCCAAAACTTAATTTCTTAGTGCACTCAATGTTGGGCTCAATAGTAAATATATGTTTAACATATTTAAAAGCAAACTGAAAAGTTTCACAACTATGTACAATGTAGATAATTTAACATTGTTAACCTTCATATGCTCAATGAAACTGTTAGACTCATCAACACAGTAATACCAGACCAGTTTTTTCATTTACTTAGTTGGTATCAGAAAATCAGTCTTCATGTTTCATTATGTCATTTGTAACCCTTAATTAGGAATGCCACTTAGAAGGGGCCATTATGGCTTTAACAACATTTACCTTTTCCCAATATCCTAGTATAGCCTGTTCATTGGGTGAGACAATGTTATATAATGGGAACTTGGATAAATAAGAGATACGGTGCTTTGGAAACTACTGAATACCTAAATAAAGGGACTAATTGCAGTTCTATGAATTTTTAAAGACATCTTCCAACTTGGAAAACACACCCTTATTTTACAAAAGTAGAAACAAGTATTTAATGTACATATTTCACATTTGGACACATTCAAATCAAACTCATGTACTCAAATATTTTTGAGCAACCTATGCTCATGCAAAGAGTAGATTAAATAAGATAAAACAGGTAGACCGTGTAGCACAGGCCTGGCAAAGAAAACAGTACTCAACATCGCTATTTGTTATTATTGTTTCTAATTTTACAACGTTAGAGTCAAACTATACGGTTATAAAATTATATATATGACTTTGTATATGTAATACACGTATATGTAATACAGGTAGTATATTAATACTATAAGTAAAGTAGTATGTTATTGTACTCAAGTAAAGTTCTTAATCTAGACAGAATTTAATGGTAACAGATGATCCACAAAGACATGAGACAGAACGCTTGCTGAGGATGCAGTGTTAAACGTTAGCGCTTGTCTCTACTCAACTCAGAAGATTCCTCTACGGGGGCTGCTAATGAATCAGAGCCACAGTCGGCGGACCCTAGGGAACTCGCTCAGAATGAATACTTAGGACCTCCAGCACGCGGACAGGAGGCCATTCATCTGCAAGCGCACCGACCACTGAAATCTGGTCACTCCAGTACGATGCGGAAATCCTACACAGATTCACCACCCGTGTCCCGCTGCAACACACATTTCCCAAGTCACTACAAAATTCATTTCTAAATGCCCCAAACTCACTTAACCTGACAACGCTACAGCATGCTGGCACACCCCGTCTCTAACACACTTCGACAGTCTCAAGCCCGCGTCACTCAGGGCAGACCGGCGAGCGCCCCGCGCCCCCGCCGCGCCCCCCGCCGCGGGACCCGGACCCCC